AATTTCCCCTATAAAATAGCATCAACTTACCCTTACTTTCCCCTTATAAAATAATGTCAGACCAAGATGATACAAAAAGGGATGCTGAGGATCTTTTGCCAGATCCAAAGCTTTTCTAAAATCATCTTCTGCATCTTGCAGTTTCTGAAATGAGACAATAAACAAAGGAAGAAACACTATTTAAGTCTCCCTCTCTCTCAAAGTGTGTATGTATATGTGTAAATGTGTGTGTATGTGTGCGTCCATGCATGTTACATATCATCTGTATCAATATATATTGTATATGCCTGATATCAATTATATTTACCATATGAAGAATGTTTGAAAAAATACCGTTTCCTATGAATACACAGATTTGGAGAATTTTTCAAAGAAAACTGTTTAAAAAGGCAAAGTTGCAATTCATATGCAAACAGGGCGATTCACCACAGTATGTGTCCTACTGACCAGTGCAAAATCATGTTATTGACACTTCTATTTTGCCCAATGTTAAATTCACAATATCAATTCATTCAGAAAATCTGAATGCAATTGAATGCATTTTCTTGGTCATAAAAAAAATTCTCTCCGAATCCAGAGATCTCACTGCTCTCTTGCCATTATGAGCCTATACAAAAGTGACATGACCTTGATTCTGAATAAGTTTCTTCATAGGTATATGCTAATACTGTAAAAAAACTTACTTCAACACAATAAATTCTCATCTAAGGCTGACTGACAAAGTAAACCAAAGGCTGACTTACCTGCATCAAAAACAATGCAGTTCCTCTAAGAAAATATAGCTTGGCTCTATTACTGTGCTTCAGGCCTTCATTGACGTCTTCTAAAGCTTTGGTATATTGACCTAGGGATATTAAAACCTGAAGAGAAACAAGCCAGCAAAGCTGTCAAATGTACAGACAGATAGCAGAAAATATAGCTTGGCTCTATTGCTGTGCTTCAGGCCTTTATTGATGTCTTCTAAAGCTTTGGTATATAGACCCAGCGATATTAAAACCTGAAGAGAAATCAGCAATTATTAATGACCACGAATATGTAGAAGTTACCTCTTGGAATCAATATGGCCATGTAAATATATAGTTTATAGGTAAGTTTCACAAATAAATATTTCTTGTAACTTTACCTCTGCTCTTCTTTCATAACTCTCTGACTTCTTTGGGTCCAACTCAATACTTTTACTAAAATCACGTAGTGCTAAAGCTGCATTAGTTTCAGACTGAAAGACAAAGAATTTAATCATATAGCATACATATCTATGTAGTCTATATATATATATATATATTAAAGATCAATAATCCAATTTAAAAAATATATCAACATATTACACTATATCCTATTTTTAACATCTTATTTTTAGAAACTTAATTCTTTGGATATTTCATCAGATATTCTAAATTCCATACCAGTAACATACCTGAAGGCCTTTTCTTGCAAATGCTGTTCCTCTCCCGTGGTATGCAATTATTGTTTCAGGATGCTCCTTTAAAAACATATTATTTGAACAGACTATGCCCAAATAACCAAATCTACATACATTTTGTTGCAGCTTTAAATAAAACTACAGGATTGATGAATTTTCAGCAATCTTCAGAAATCCCTTAAATTTTGTAATTTTAAATAAACTAACATATTTTGTACTGTTAAGCATTTTAATATTCAAAACATATTAGTTGTTAAATGATGTGATAATCAAAATGAATACCTTGATAATATTAGTAAAAACTTGAACTGCTTCATCTGGTTGAACCAAATTCATCAGAACCATCCCCATAGCTTTAGCAAAAGAAAAAACATGTAATGTGCTTTTGTAAACAAAAAGAAATGTGGTTTATTGTTACTCAAAAGTTGTTTGTAATAAGAATTATCTATAAACTAAGAAACTTGTAAAAACAAATTACTTGGATGCCATAAAGATTTATTCATCTTTTATTCATCAGCACAATATTTCATTTTAACCCCCTAGAGGGCCATGTGTAAAATAAGTGTGCGCACTTAACATGTTTTACCCTCTTTAAATAAAGTTTATTAATAATAATAATAATAATAATAATAATAATAATAATAATAATAATAATAATAATAATAATAATAATAAATATAATAATAATAATAAATATAATAATAATTTGAATAAATGGACTGGTGAAGTTTACACTGAGCATTAAGGGAAGTTTTCAGTTTGTCATAAAACTTGTTTATCAAACTATTGGCCAGAATTGTAGCAAATAATACATTTGGACCAAATAATAGATAACAGATTTTATACCTACCAATATTTTTATCTATATCCATATTTCCTGTTGCTAGTGGCACTAATCCTTTTTTTGCTATAGATTCAGAATGAGCCTGGAAATAAAATAAAATGTTTTGAAAGACACTACACATGCTATCAATGTCATAGTAAATTCAAACTTTCTTTGAAAAAAAAATAATCAATTTTATTTCCCAATATATTGGTTTACTGATAAATTCATAAAATATAATTAGGACATTCTGAATAGTGAGTTGGGTTTACATCAGATAATTTGTTTTTATATGAAACTAAATATGATACATTTTCAAATAATAATAATATTTGGAATGTGTATCTGTTGTGCAGCTAAGAAAAGAATATGTTAAATTGCCATATGCCCATTTGTCAACTGATCAGTCTAGCACACCCATCCCCCCCCCCAAAAAAAAAAAAAAAGGAAGAAAAGAAAAAAAACATCACAGAGAATTTACTCAAAACCATGATTACAAAAACATTGTTTTTATTTTTTATCTTTAAGGTATACTAAATAATCAATTCTACAGGTAAATCTACTAGTATCTAGCTTTATGTTATTTGTCAGTATCTACATATTATGTATTTAAATAATTTTCCCCTAATATCTATATACCATTTAACAAATTTCCTTTCAAGTAATTAAAACACCTTTCTTCATACAGCCATCACATTATAGCAATGGTGGCATACAGTATGATATTGATTATTCTTATTAAATTATAATTACCTCTAAATTAAACATGCCTTCCTTTGGACAAGACTCTCTTTGCACAGAACAAAGACCCACTGGCACATCTCCCTTCATTTCTAAAAACATAGAGAAGAATCATTATTAAAACTGTATAGCAGTAATATTTTATATATTGGTTGCCATAAATACCTAAAATACTTAATAAATACACCATACTGTTTGAACCCACACAGCACTAGATAAGTATTAGCAATCTATAATATTTCTACATTTACTCACATTATATTGAGGGGCAACACATTTCATTAAGGTCTATGTTTACACAAAAAAATTCTATAAGCAGAGTGCAGCATTAATATTGGCATTTCACCTTGACTCCTATCTTTATTGCCCAAGTAAAATCTAAGTAAAAGCAATTTACTGAGGAGACTACGTCAGCCCCCCTGTTTGCGATCTATCCAGCTGATATGAGGGCATGATACAAGTAATGGGTTTACACACGACTGCACAGCAGGCAATAACATCTTGAGTGGGGCTTGTCACGTTAAACACATCTGCTATGTGGCAGATTCATCAGAGCCACATGGAGGGTAATCCCTTATTAATTGCTCTGTGTTCAACGCTATTATTAATTGTGTGTTATTATTATTTTTTATTTAAATTTATAACACATAGAAGCAAAACAAAAAAATAAAATCCTGAAAAAATAATAAAACTCATGAACATCACCATCGATTTGAGGGTAAATTAAAAGACGACAAGCGTGTTTCGCTTACCACATTCTGGGGCCAGTTCTCCTATGGTCAAGCTGATTGGCAAGACGAAACGATATCTGTGGTCAGTGCTCCGTGAAGTGGTTGCTCGAGATTCTTCGTCGCATTCTTTACAATCTCCAAACAGCTGTAGTCCCTTTACCCTAAAGACTTGTTGGCTACCGTCTTCCTGTGTAACATGAATGCTGGCTACATCACACTGTTGAGCATACTTAGACGAAATTTGTATAAATAGAAGGACGACAATCAGTTCTAAAACTTTTTCGGCCATATTGACACACAACATAACACTGATTGGTTCCGAAGGTGTACATCTATTATTACTAAAATGTATCTAGTATTCATACATATAAATGTGTTTATGATAATTTATTTTATATAAAATAGTGTCAAAAGACACACATTAGGGGCAATATGAATATTATTTCATCAACTTACCTGTTCTTAAAATAAATCACATGCTAGATTATTTTCGGGACTAGGCATATTAATGTTTAATCGGCAAGTAGTTTCTACAGTTTAGCCGCGGGAATCGTGGATGGGGGGGGGGGGTTCACTTCTTCGATGAGTTCATTTTCTACCCCTCCACTTTAAGCTATTGATTAAAGCTTCAATGCACAGTTGTCATTTGAAATTGGAGTTACCTTTCTCTGTTACCTCCTGGTTGATTGTAGTGGAATTTGTGACCCAGGAACAATAAATGCAGTTATTTAGATAACAAGCAAAGAGAAAAAAAATGGTATAGTGAATCACAGTAACCAGGAAGGACAGGCCTTTCAATAATTACCACAAAAATGTTCACTTCGAGTTTAAGCCCCCCCCCCCAGAAAAAAAGGGTGGAGGGGGTTATTACAAAGTATTGTTTCCGTAACCACCCCATACTGAGCTCTGATTGCAATCCAGGCAAGCAGTTAATTATTTGCACAATTAAATGTTATGACCTTGTTTGCTTCGATCTTTTGTGATAGGAAAAAGATACCCTTGCAACAGTTAAGGGAGTTCTATGTAGTAGTATATGTAGTTAGTTATCACACAGTACGCCCTTTTTATTAGTCATCACACCTGATCTGTTAAGTTATTCTTTGTACAGTACAGTATTATGTCCATATTGAGGACTATGAATATTTGCTTTTTGTCAACTTAATTAATTGTTTTCCAGAATGTAGATGTCACTTCAAAAGTTCAAGAAAGTTGTTACAGGAATATTTGTTTAAAGCAATTAATTTATTTCTAAATAGGAGAAATGGACCAGTGCACGTACTGGAGTACAGTATTTTCTTGAAGATAAACATACAGTACACCACAACAGCAAGGCCAGTGACAAGGTGTGTCCTCTGCTTAGAAAAATAGAAAAATAGAAAAATACCCAAAGAGACAGTCATAACTTCTTCTGACCAGGCATGATTGAAACTGAACACTATTTTGGTGTTAATTACGTAGATGCATAGTTTTCTGTAACAGTAACAAACCTAACAGAAACATTTACAAGCAAAAATTTAAAAAACTATGTTGCAAATTTGTTCCAGATTGGAGCCAGAAGGGTACATTAGGTTTAGGAACAGATCAAGCCGGTTGATGGGTGTTTTATCACCAGATGTTATATGCTGTACACAGTGATGATGCCAGCATGACAGATATAATTCCACTTGGTCGGGGTACGACCTTTATTCAAATGGAAGGTATTTGTTGCATTTTAATGTAGATCTTCTTTACTCTGTTAAGATCACTTGATCATGTGCCACAGTGGTATTGCATAATGTATAACTTAAAAATTAGATGAAGATTTCCCATCCATCGGTAAAGGTCTCTAGTTGTCACATAGATTGCAAAACAGTGACATAATCCAAATAAGTAAGAAATATTTAAATTCTGCCAACCTCTGTATTCATACAAATATGCCTCGATCTGAGCACTATGAAGATGTTAATGGCAAGCTTTTTTCAGTCTTCTATTTTTTTTATAAATGCACCTTGTTGCAACTGAGATCAAGACAAAATAAAAATGGAAAATATATTCTGGATTCGTATGTTTTACATTTTGTTGCAATGCTTGAGAGGTGCTGGATTAGTATGTTTAAGAAATGCAGCAGAGGATCTAAGGTGGTGTGTTTGCTTGTGGTTGTGCATCCAAACTGTTGCAATTCACTGGAATTCATAGGACTGACGAGCCAGAAAAATGAGAAGCTGGAATCTTCTTAGGGTCTGTGCTTAATTGGGTTTTTGTTATATGAAATTGTCAAATTTCCTCTCTCTGACAGTTGTGTCAAAGACATAAAACATTTTATTCACTGATTTAATTATGACCTCAGATTACAGATTGTACTTAAACATGAACTAAAGAATTACATTTGAAGCATTGGTGTTCAGAATGTTATTCAAATGGATTTTTGCAAGGTCAATTTGAGATGCAGATGCATGATAGCCAGTTAAGAATAGAAAACTGATGATAACTGAAGAAAAACTGCTTTGTTCTTGTTGTTATTTTTTTCTACCCTAAATCCCAGCTGGCTTGAATAGAACGAATGGTTTAATTACTTACTATTTCTGTAGACAAGATATATGTAAAATTTCGCCAACCCCATATTTTTATTAATTTAAATATTTTTATCATGGAACATAAGTTCATGTTCCTTAAGGAGTAACAACTGTTCATTTTGGCCAAAAATGGATTTTCCTTGGGTAAACAGCAATTTTCCCATACTTACCAGTGGGTAGTTAATCCATTCCAACATTTAGAGTAAGTTTTTAGTATTTTTTTATAATCTTAGCCATGTGTACGTGGTGTGATGGTGGGCACAAATTCCAGAATAATTGCAATACTTGGCATTTTGGCAGTAAAATAGAATTTATTTTATTTCTATGTGTTGTTTAAAATAAATTTATTGTGAAATATGAATCACATACAGTTTTTATCCTTTTTCATCAGAAAACAAGATCATAGTGATCTTAATCTCCCAGGATCATTGGGATCAATTGTCCACTTTTAGTGGCTGTTGCAAAATGAGAAATGGCCTGTTTTGAATATGGATTTGAAGCTGGTCTTTTACCTCTTTTACCTTCTAATGGTCATCGAAAATCTTCATTGGGCTTGGAAGTGAAACATGTTTTGGTTTCATATCATTGACCTGTGTCGTTTATAATACAGACATAACCAGCTGTCACTGCTACCTGAGAAGACAGAGAAGATAATGATGATGACACTAGGTACACTCCAGGTTAAGTTTTAACCTAAGGGTTCTTATCATCTTTTGTGTCTGAATTGGGAATTAAAAGAATCTTTTCAGGCTAAGACTGATTTGACTGCAGGATTGCCAGTAATTCTGCTGCTATAGATGTCTTGGTGTCACTCCAGCATGGTTTTATAGTTCATTAAAATCAACCTTTCTTTCTGACAAATTTGAATCCATTTAATGGGACTATATCACCTTGTCAGGGACTTAAAACTATAAAAATATGCTTCATTAGGATGATTGCATTTCTGATTCAGAAGTAAATGTTAATGGTGCTTTTAAATTAGGCAGTTGTAATAATTAATAATTTCAGGCCTCCCTTTCAGATCTCTTTTTTTTTTTTTGTGATAATTTGAGTCAAGTTTGGCTTCCAAGATGGAAGTTTCATTAATTTTAATCAGTATGTAGGCTTGAACTGATTACACAGTTTTTCCTCTCCTTCCACAAGGAATTCATCTTTAATCATGCTACATCAAGATAGCTACCTTTATGTGATTATCTTCTGTTTTGGTAAACACAGGCTTATTTTCTGATCCAAAAATACCCTTTGTAATGAGGATTAAGACAAGCACACATGTTGTCAGTGATTTCATTTCCCCTGCAATAATGCACTTGGTATGACATGTAAATTGTTCTAACAAATTGCAGCATTGTCATTAGGAATCCAGTGTTTTTTTTTTTTTCAATAATACGGGTTGTTGTAGAACTTGGTATATGCATTAGATGTTTCTGTGCCTCTATTAATTGTTATGTACGAACATTTTGTGTCTGTTTATATTCTGGTTACTGTGTCTGTCCATGTCATCACTGTATGTGTCTGTAGATATTCTAGTTACTGTGTCTGTCCATGTCATCACTGTATGTGTCTGTTGATATTATATTCTGGTTACTGTGTCTGTCCATGTCATCACTGTATGTGTCTGTTGATATTATATTCTGGTTACTGTGTCTGTCCATGTCATCACTGTATGTGTCTGTTGATATTATGTTCTGGTTACTGTGTCTGTCCATGTCATCACTGTGTGTGTCTGTTGATATTCTGGTTACTGCGTCTGTCCATGTCATATTACTGTTTAAAATCTCAGTATATAAAGAAGGGAAGGGAGAATGACAGAAGTTGAAGAAACCAGGGAGATAACAGCTAGTCAGATGATAAGAATCTTCTGACTTGGCTGCATTTCATAAAATTTACTGTTCTTAGAGTTCAGGACCAAGAGACATTTTTCACATGTGTTATATGCCAAAATTAATGTCTTTTTTATGCCTTTTTATGCCCTTTTGGCCATCTCTATATTATTGATAAGCTTAGCCCAGCTGGTGGTACCTCCATACTTACCCAGGAGATGACAACACCTCTCTGATCTTCTCATTGATACTTAGAATATGTATTTTATAGTTGAGACAGATTGGGTCTAACAATCCTTTATACTCAGTATGTTTACCAGAATTAGTAATATAGCATTGCTTCAGGCTTCAGGCTTGAAAAAAAAAAAAAAGAATTCCGTGTGGATTAGGTGTGCCAAGGGCTGAGTAGATTACCTGATCTGAGACCATGATAGTACATTTATCTCGCTTAGAGCTCACTTTTGTCTTTTTCATAAGAAAATTACATTTTGCATTATGTAATATGTGGCAAAAGAAACATGCCAAATCTCCATTTTCATGGTATGAAAGTTGTGGTAAAACTGACAACTTAAACCACCCTTTTATTTTTTTTTAATTGCAATGTTGGGAGTATGGCTGAATAAAACTGCTTGGAACTTGATATAAAAGCTGTCAGATTTGAAGTGACTATATTGCTTGCGTCTAAATTCCTAAGATATATCTTAGTATTTGGCATGATAAAAATTGCCTTCACAGGTTGATTGGCATTTTTCATAGATAAGATTAGTGCTCTCTTGAAATTTACCATTTCTATAAACTAGTATCTCTTGTCTATCTCAACAGATCAATGTAGACGTAATTGGAAATTGAAACCATAGAAAAGAGAGAGATGAAGACTTGTATCAAAGCAAAAACTGAACTGGGGAATTATTGAGACAATAGGTGCTACTTGTACATGCTCTGCTATGCTTCATACCCTGCCCATGCATGTATTTTGTAGGCACTATTTTTATATACTGGTGTCTGAAAAGCATTTTTGGTTGAGACACAGGCTAGACATTTTTTATGCTCTATGTTGTGAAAAGGTAATTTAATAGTTGATACTTTCTCATTTTACTTATATAATTTGCTGCAGCATATTGTTCCTTTTGATTCCTGGGAATATTGTTACAATTTAACTTATTACAAATTTATTTTTAAAATATTTATTTTTAAAATAGGGAATGTTCATTGTTCAGATAGCCTTTTTCGATAGACTTTTTTCTGGGGGTAGGGTATTTTGCCGTAGGAAGACTATATGAAGGAATCAAGAAGCTGTCTGTCTTATGCAGGCATCATGACTACTTGAAGCACTTACAATGTCGCACTATACCAGTAGCTATCGTATTATAGTAAGACATCATCAAGAATTTGTGTATCTCAAGAGAATTTGAATAACTCAAGGGTTTTTCCAGTATCATGCTAACCAGCTGAGGCATGTAAATGGCCTGTCTTAAGACATCTTCCTCAGTCAGTCTTTAGCAACGCTACAAAACAGAGTGATGATTCTGGTATTGTTGTTTTCCTGCAGGTATAAACAACTGTAAAATTAATATCTTCATGTTACTTTGTATGTGGTTTGAGCTCTACCTCGTGATCCTGTGTGGGCACTCTCACTGCATTAGATCTGTTGATCAAGTTCAGGTCATCCATGTGTGAAGTTCCAAATTCCATATTCATGCTCTCATCTGCTGTCAATTTAAGGGCAGTAGGCCACCAGCCAAACAAACATTTTATGGCAATTGTAACCAAGTCTTAATGGTTTTAATTTTTTGTGAATTTTGCATATCTTTGGTCGGGAAACTGTGCGTTCAATTTTCAGGAGTTACCCGGCAATCTTACGTACTTTCAATTTATGTACTTTCAATTATCTACTTTTTAGAAGATTTCTGATAGTTTACATGAAATAATGTGCATGGGCTTGATCTGTGCTTATATTAAGAAGAAATATTTTCATTGGTTTAAAACTTTTTAGATGCCAAATTATTTTGAGTTATTACTTATTGTTGCCATCAAGCCTCTCTTATCAAGCCCATACTTCTATTTACCCAGAGGGAACCTTTTCCCAGCAAAAAATGGGGGTTCTTTTGACCCCCCCCCCCCCCCGAACCCCCATGATGGCTGCGGGCGGCTTATGGTAATGTATTCTGGCACTGCCCTTGTAGTGAGATGTAATTGTTTTCTAAGGGTCTATGATCAGGTGTTGCTTCATATACAGGTGGTAGCCCGCATCTGTGCATTTTATGGACAGAATTCATTTCTCTATAAAGCTTTCTTTGATACAGCAGCCAGTAAAGAGATCAAAGT